TAGACTATAGCTCATGTGTTTTTTCGTGTCCGAGCTAGTCCGAGCTAGGATCAGTACAGGCTTCAGACTAGTCATGTTTTCAGGTAGAGGATGCAGAAGGCTCAGGCGGCTTAACAAGGAATATGACAGACTACACAAGGATATCCGAATGAACCCGGTCCACCTACAGCCATGCATTGGCAACCATAACAGCCACAGCGCTCATAGCTGCCCATATGAACATAGGAATTAGCATAAGTGTATCTTAGAGAGATGCGTGTGTATATATATATATATCATTCAATACACGTTTATTTATGTGATAAACGAGAGAGACAAGGTGAAAGCTCTACCATTCTCCCATCTGTCCATCTGTCAAACACATCAATCAGTGAGGCAGCCGCATACCCACCAAGCAGCAGGAAGATGCAAACCCAGGTTTTCACTGTGGAAGCCATGGCACGATTTGAGGTTTTTTAGGATAATGGAAAATAAAATGGAAATTACTATATCAATACAGGGATTATGTAGGGATTCTATAGGGGTAATGGAAAAGAAAATGGAAACTACTAGGTTGTCAAATGCACACGGGAATGCAGTGGGGAGCTCGTAGGTGCTGTCTCTAGATGTTTGTGCCCCAACTCTACAGTACTGTCCATGTTCTTTTCCGTTATTTCTGTAAACTCCCTACATAATCCCTGCAATAACATAGTTATGTCCGTTTTATTTTTCAAGGTGCATTGAATCCGTCAAGCTGTGATGGCTACTTCTGCTGTCAGATACTCAAGCGCATACGATTCATGGAGCGCCTCTGCTGGAAGCTTGAGCGAGCATATTGCGGGGCACAGCACCACATGGCGTGCGCTGCAACTTCTGCACCACCTATTCTGCGTTGCGGTGCGGGAACTTAAAGCAAGTTACGATGATATGGATATATCAGAAATACTATGCCTTCCTGTTCGTGGTAACTTACTTCACCAGTGTTGACCGAATGCAGCTCTGGCAGTTCTGAGATCACCACGAGTTCCTTCTCTTCCGGCGTCCTCATCGCCAGAGGAATGGAAGTGGGCAGGCCCAACGGTTCAGCAAAAGGACGGTTGTCAGAATTGGGTCCCCTGGAACATACAGCCGCAAGTGTTCAGAGGGTACCCTAAACGGACCATGATTTTGACGATCCCCAAAAGGCCTCAACACCACTTCCTCCACCTCGGCACGGTCCTTGCCCTCTGGACCTGGGTGTTAGGCTTTGGCGTCTTGGGTTTGGGTGCAGAATTTTAGAAGTAGTTTTTTTACACCAGAGGACTTTTACGTCTGCCCGAGGCACTGGTGAGTTCGAGAAAAAACTGTGCAAAATGCATCTAGGTTTGAGGGCCTAGGCTTAAATGGTGTATTCGCGTACATTGCTGTTGTATCGGTCTGTGCCCACGGCATGGAGATCGCAGGACCCCACGCTCAAGGTCGCTGACCTGAACAGCCCAGGCTACTGCTACAGGACTGATCGGCTGAAGCTTCACCCTAAATCCTAAACCCTAAACCCCTAAACCCCCTAAACAATGTAAGAAGTGCTTTCCAAGGTCCAGGCTCCGCCATAGAAATCGAAAAGCTCATAGCGGAGTGCCTGGGCTGTCGACAGCAAGACTCGGGAGTGGAAGGCACCAAGTCCATCCATTGGCAGACACTTGAGGGTCGAGCGCTGTCCCTTCCAGCGCAGCGAACGCCTCAAATCTTTTCTCTTACTAGCCACTGCTACTTGGTAGCTGTTAGCTATGCCTAAAACCGGATCCTAGTTAGCTGAGACACTTCAACTCACCAAATCCCATCCAATGCCGTTCACATATTGCATGAGTGCAGCCAACCCCGTCAACCCGTCCGCCTGCCTAAGAAGCACGGAAACCTGGATGAGGGCCATGCGCATCAGCAGCGCGCCAATCGTGAGGTCACGACGCCTCGGTGCCCCAGCACACTACAAACTTATGCTCAAGATGACTAACGTGCATTAGATCAGAAAGTGCTGATTTAGATTCCCGAAGGCGAGAGGAAGGATAGAAGGTGGGGTTACACATATATATATATACACATATATATAGTTAATCCTTGTATTACCCTATAATATAGTAGTTTCCATTTTCTTTTCCATTATCCCTAAAGAAGGAGACTGGTTGGACAGTTTCTCCCTGGGGCAAAGGTCCCTGGAATGGCGTTCGTCCGGCATCACCTCTCATCTCTGGTCATCCTCCCTACCATATGGAAGTTTAGGGTTTAGGGTTTAGGGTTATGGTAGTTTCCCAAAATAGGGGGACCCCCATATAGACCCTAAAATACTATAGCCCTTATTATAAGGACCTTCAAAATGGTACCCCTAATTTTGGGAAACCCCCATATCCTCCCCACCATGAGAATCCCGGCTAACTCGGTATGAAGTGGAGCCAAACAGTCTGACAAAATTGGGTATTGCCCCCACCCAGAAACAGTCTATACCAGAAGACTAGGGGTACCATTATGTAAGCCCTTTGTATGTTTAAGTTACAAACATGATGATGCATCACCCAACTGTTACTGAGTTGGGGCAGTATCCGACTGACGAGGGTCAAAAATATGTGGGCCGCATATGACACGTCTTGTTGCGTTGCTTGTGGATCAGAATCTCGGTAATGGTCATAAGAAAACATGAGCATGCTCCTCCGCAAACGCGGGAGCTCCCGTTTCATCTTGTTCTCAAACTAGCAGCCTCTCTGCTCTCGTATTAAATATGAAAAGGCAGAGAACTTGCAAGTCAGGTGATGACATGGTTGAGGTTCTAGGCAGCTCTAGACTGTCGCAGTCAGCAGACAACAACTGGCAAGAAGACTTGTATAACTCACGACAGCCATAACGCTCATCATGTACAAAGTTTTGTGAGCCCTAAACCCTACACACCACTACATAATCGCATGGTCCTTTTCATGTTCCACTCTTTTCCAAACCACTTCACTACATACTCGCGTATTCCATTTCATTTCCATTTGATTCTCCGTTTTCCCAAGTCTCGCGCAGGGCATCCTCTTCTGGCAGACCTCGCTGGTCTCGTATTGGAACCCTGGCATCTCGCGCGTGGCAGGAGGGTTGCCAGGTTGCTTTGTCTTCGCTTTGCCATCTCAAGGCCTGTTCTCATCTGAATACCGCTCCTCGCCAATTGTCGGCATGACGTCCACCTACATGCAGAATGTCAAAGAATCCCAATGGCAAGAGTTCATGTGCTCCAGATGCTTCGCTGAAAACAGGGTAGTAGAATCAACTTCAAGCATTTAGAACCTGCTTGTACTACGCAGGGATGCAGTTCCTCTTTCCCTACGCACGTCTGCCATGGACTTGGGTAGTGATTGCTGTTGGTTGAACTAAATGAACTGTTCCCATAATAAACCACTATGACCACAAGGAGAAATGATTTGACTCAGTATTGCTAACTAGAGCATCCCCTGTTCTAAGACTGGGTACATGAAAGGTTTGCGAACCTCGGTCTTGACTCCGTCGGTGTTCGTGAAGTGCGCCTGGCGAAGCCACAGGGTTAGGGTTCAGGGCTTCCCTCAGGGTCCTGGAGGATGTGTAGAGATTATGAAGGTTTCCTCGACCGTCCATGATCTAGATTCCTACTATCCCTTTAAATCCCCTTAATAAGCCCTATTCCCCTGTATTGCCCCTAACATATAATCCCCTATATAAAACCCTTTTAAGGACTTTAGACTATGGCTCGTGTAATGATTATACTGGGACATTCCCATTCCGGTCCCAGCCTTGAAAGTGTCAAGCTGCTTGTCTTTGGATTCGTTGGAAAGGATGGTCGCCTAGGAGCGTAGCGATTTAGGGGTTTCCCAAAATTGGGGATACCTTTTTGGGATCACTATAGTAAGGACTTTAGTATTTTGGGGTCTATATTGGGGTCTCCTTATTTTGGGAAACTACCATTTAGGGTGTAGGGGTATAGGGTTTAGGGGCTTAGGAGTTAGGATACTTAGGGGCTTAGGAATTAGGATATTTAGGGATTAGGGTATGGGAGTAAGGGTATAGTTGTCTGCGCTTACGGAGGGTTTAGGGGTACTAGGATGGTGCTCTATGACATCGGAGGTTCTCAAGAAGGGGAGGCCTAAGGGAGCTCAGAGGCATTTGGGAATTAGAATGAGGTATCTGAATGGGAAGCATAGGAAGGATTCTTGAAGGCATTTTTGGTGAGAATGTTTTAATAGCCCCACGTGGCTCACACATGAACATGCGCAGAACTCAAAATCCCCTGGAAGCTGTGTCTACATTGACTTACACTACCACCTATAATACGTGGCTAGCTTCTAAAACTTATGGGCACCAAGTATACTACGGCGGCACATATCAGCTGGGGCTGCTAATTTTGGGCGGGCTGTCCTTGTGCAACCGAGGCTCGTTTTTGAACTCTGTCAGCCCAAATTCTGGCCTTGCATTTGCAAACTACTATAGTATATTGGGGTAGTCTTGGCATAATGGAAAAGAAAATGGAAACTACTATAGTATAATAGGGTATATATTGGGGTTATCTAGGGATAATGGTTTCAGTTGGGTACTGCCCCCACCCTGCCACAGTCTTTTGAGGGGTGATAGTAAGGGCTATACATAACCATCGTATAAATATTATCCAACTGTTACAGAGTGGGAGCCGTGCCCAGGATCAACTTTGTCTTCCAACCTGGGAAAAAATCATGTACGTTATGGTCGGACCCGTAGTAGAGGGAAAGCGAGATAGAGGGACCTGCGCTACACTCACTTGGGCAAACCTCTGATGTCTTACTCAAAGCAACCCACCATGTAACCTACAGCGAAATCATATAAGGCTTGTAGAATACAAGCAAACAAGATCCTGAATGCTTTCCTACCCAGACTAAGTCAAATAGGGCTCAAAGCCAGAGATCTGATAGTACTAATAAATCAACGTCAATAACAATGATGATGATAACAATCATACCACTACTAAGAAGCTTAATTGAAAATACCAATAGTAATGGTAACAATGATGATGAAACCTTACATCCCCCAACCATGTAGACCTAAACCCACAGCATCTCAGACCGCTCCTCCCCTCAACGTAGGACTTCATCTCGTCCAGCAGCGCGGCCACTGTCACCTGCAACCCGCGCTCTGTGTAGGGTCTAGGGATCAGGGTGCAGGGTTTAGGATTCATTTTTGTGTTTAGGATCTTGGGTTTAAGGGTTAGGGTGTCGAGTCGAGGATATAGGCTCTAGGCGTGAGGAATTAGGGTGAAGGGTTGAGGCGGTGCAGCGTAGTGGGTTCAGAGTTGTTTTATCATTCTTTATGCGGAAAAAGCAAGTCCACAGATGAGGTCCCTGCCATACCCCCAAAGTAAAGTTGTGGACCGAAAGCGTCAACCAGGACTACAGCAAGAAAGCCCTAAAGTGCCGGTTGACATCTGGGCCATCCTCACCACCATGCATTTTTTTGAGGGTACAGCAGGGAACCCGGTATTTAGCTGTACCAACGCCATCGCAATCTTGGAAACAACGTCTGGGGCGTGCCTCCGGCGCGCAGTCACGAAGGCACAGGGTCAGGTCAAGATCGTCAGGCTCCTTTCCAAGCAGCAGGTCCCTGACCTTACAGTCCACACAGGAAGACAGCAAGTTCTACTGGGGGTGCATTGAATGCACAAGGTACCGCCAAGTCTCGAATATCCAAGCCTCCAGCATAGCCTCCGTTGATGAACACCGGAACATCTTGCAAACCTCCAACGCTCCCATCATGCCACCATACACACAACCTTGAGATCACAGACGAATTCAATGCCTCGATCAGCAAGGAAGCACAGGAAAAACTTCAGGATCTCTGCGTCCGTCTTCGGGATCCTCACATTCTAAGTTCTTTGTTTGAAAAGAGTCTGGGGTACCTGTTTGGATCACAGGAGAAGTTATCACATTCAGCACGTACCGTCTAGGATTCTCTTGCCAAAACAGCAAACCGGACCGATCTACACTCCCCAAGCTACCATGGAACCCCACAATGTTCCCTTCATTCAAAGCACAGCGGTCTTTAAACAGCCCTCTTGGGCGTTCTACGGTGGCGGGGGGGGGGGACCGTGCATCGGAAGCCGAAGCAAGCAGGACGCGCCTGCATATGTACCTGCATTGCAGGCATCCCAAAACGCACAAAAGACTATGGGGGTTTCCCAAAATTTGGGGTACCCTTTTTGGTGGTTTACAGGGTTATATAGGAGTTATATGGGGATAATGGAAAAGAAAATGGAAGCTACTATTTACGGTTTAAGACCATGCTGTCCATGACATGTTTGCTCATACATGGGTAGTTTCCAAAATTTGGGAGTCCCAATATTAAGGATTATAATATTTTGGGGTCTTGGGGTCCCCTTATTTTGGGAAACTATCACATGAGGGTCTATATTAGGGGATCCCATGCCAGTGGGGTCCCCATAAGGAGGATTACAATACTTCGGGGTATGTAAAGGGGACCCTTCTGGAAACCAATTTTGGGGCCCCATGTAGGGATCAGAAACGTGCACTGTCATGATAACATGTTCTACAAGCGAGCGCGCATCCACAGTGCATGAGGCAGGACTTAGATAAACACCCGACTCACTAGTAGCTAGTGGCCCCCAGACAATACCCAATATACCCTAAACCCTTAGCGCAAAAGCCATAATCGCAAACACTTCAACCCTAAACTCTAACTGGCACCAAAATCTGAACACCACCCCTTGTAGACTGCAAACCGATTGCTGGGAGGGACTAGCTAGGAGGGCACTCTTCGGCGAGCTCTTCACCATGCCGCACTCTGAGCCGTTCTGTAGCAACTGCAGCCTGCCAGGCTGGTTGAATATTCGGGGCTCTGGGTTTAGGGCGGGTTGAGGGTTTAGGGCGTAGAGATGTTTTGGCTTTCTTTAAGTCTTAGGCATGTTAAGGGTTGGGTCTGTAGTTTACACGAAGAATGAAGCGACTTCTCGGACAACTCAAGAGAAGGGTGTACATAGTTCTGTATCGGGATGCCCTGCATACCCCAAATCCAAAGCCACCCTTCTTGCAATCGCCCTCCCAAGACGCACAATATTAAGAAACCCCTAGCAAGAGCCAAGAGACCATGGTCGCCATGCAAACGCGTGCGGGGCCAGAAAGACCTGCAAGCTTGCTCAGCAAAAAGGCCATTATGTGTGGAGGCTCACCATGGGCGATCCTCTTCACCCGCAGATCATGTGCTACAATGAGTTGTCCGGGGGGGAGTTCTTGTTCGAAGGATCACGAAGGATCACACTAATCTCGGCACTCAAGCGGGAGTCTCAAAACATCACAGAGAAAATACCCTGGTTGGTAGCCCTGCAATTCCTAAAGACAGAGAGCAAGTTTTTGAGGAAATCCCAAGTCCACGTCCTGTAGATGCTTCAAAACATGTAGTACCTCTACATACCCCATATCCTCTCTATTGTCTCTACCTCGACATACCCCTGTATACCCCAGTATCCCCCTATGTACCCCTATATACCCAGATACCATCATGGCTGTGCCTGTGGTCGCGGCTGTCTTGTGGCCTCCAGAAGAGGCTGTCCGCCTTTCGGGTTGAGGGTAGGGTTGAGGGTAAAGGGTAGAGGTTAGGAGGACCCCCCCACCCTGTAATAGTGGTATACTAGGAATATAAGAGGACCCTAATATAATCCCCATTATCCATAATAGTCACTGTTACTGGTGGGGGATCCACCTAAGGTAGAGGTTTTAGGGTTTGGGGTGAAGTGTCTAGGTTTTAGAGCCTAAATCCGACGAAGAAGATTGTGGTTTCTTTCTTCCCCCAACCCACCACCCCAAGTATTAAATGTTCCCAATCTGTTCTCATATACACAATGGGAGTATCTAATATCAGGGGTGGCGGGGGATTGCATTCAAACGTCCAGTCCAGGTCATCCCATGGCATGAAGTAGAGCATCGGATGCTTTATTTGGGAGAAGGCCCCGGCCAGGATGGACATCTCTCAACACGATGGACCCCTTGAAGACCCCAACATACTACTATCTTCAAAAGCTGACCTGAAATTCTGGAAATATGTCGATGGCCGAGAGTCCGGAAACTCTTGACTTACTCGTGTTTAAGAGGGAGTGGGGGAGTGGATCCCTACAAAACTCCCTAAAAAGAATACTACACTGGTCCCTCTTTTCCCTAAACCCTAAACCCTTGAACCCCTTCTGCACCCGTGAGTAGAACCGCACCTCAGGCTCGAGTCTTGTTTGCTGAAGAATGCCCGCGGAAGCGCCGGGCCTTAGCCGCTTCAGTATCGGAGGGGACTCCACAAGTAAGTACAACCACTATCCTATAACTTACATAAACCCTGAACACTTGAATTACACCCCTTGAAGCCACATACTAAGCACAGCTGCCCAGTGTCAGGCTACTTATTAAGCTCCCCATGCTCATGGGCTTTATGGGCTTTACCACCTTGCTGTTGCTTTTGCTTTGAAGGAACTTTATTAAGTTGCCATTTATATAGAAACCATATTACTTACAACACGTTCATATTATGGTAGTTTGGCTTAGGTTCCGAAGCTCCCTATACTATACAACCCCTGCATTGCCCCAGCTTCCATGTCCTTTTCCAGTTATGGCTTTTCCAATTTGTTTCTTCGTTATGGTAACATAATTTAAGCCTAGAGCCTAGAGCCTGAACCTGAAACCTTCAGCCCTGAACCCTAAATCGTAAACCCTAAACCCTCAGCTAGTGAATAGCAAAACAGTTTGGGGTATACTATCCCTGCAACCCTAACCCCTACCCTGAGAAGCTGTCAAGGGACAGAGGATAGGTGTTTCCGGCCAGTCTTCTCACACTACCATCCGCCCACTGTGACTAATTACCATCCTCCTGGAAACACTCGATAGTTTTTTGGAAAACCGCCATACATAAGCTTCTGCAGGTTCATGGCATAGCTTGCGCACATTCGAGTTCAGGATATAGGGTTGAAAAGTTTAGGACGCGCTAGTTTCCGTGAATGGCGGGGACCCCATTTACACGCCCATATACTCTCACTAAAACCATAAGCCCTACCATATGGACTCCAAACAATCGGCAGCGCTTATGTAGGGTCCAGAACATGAAAACTCCTTACATCAGGACTCCTCATGGGGGACATTCAAGTTTTGGCAACTCCCATATGGTACGAGGCCCTCAGCGCTGAAGGTCAGCATTGAAAACAACATGTTGATGTGACGGTTGGGCACAGTTGCGTTGCCCTATCTGTAGCCGTACGACTTTTTCAAGCTCACCCTCCACGGCCAGCTTTCAAAGTGGCTGAAGCAGAAATTCTCTTGCATTTTCTAGGTGAATGTGGCTTCTCAGGGTTAGAGCTGCCTCGTATTTCCCCCCAGGCCACATGATGTGATTGATATAACCCCATACTGAGGACCAAGACCCTAATGTCAAGTAATCGTCATCTGATAGGCACCTTTTGTCCCTCTTCTTCAACAGAATGTGTGCCAAACTCGGCCAAGTGCAACTAGCATACTCTACATCAATGTACTGTGCCGTGTCTCACGCTGTAAAGATGTTTGAATTCACTTGTCAACTTCGTTGTTACAACTCACAAGCACTCCTGGTCATCCAGCCTTTCAACGCGAATCTTATGCACTTTCGGCATCCCTAAGCCTCCTCAAACCTGAATTCCGCGCAGGTCGCTCACTGACGTCTCCTCGCATAACTGCAGCTTCTCAACAAGCTCTGAGTTTGCAACATTTAAGCCCGTGCGACTCACAATCCTCAACCCCCTAAATCCCTCGAAGCCGGTCAGTGGTGAAAGTTCGAGTTTGCGCTCCCCTCCTCCCCGCCCACTAAGAGCTTCCAGTAAGAGCCTGGCGACACGGTGCCGGTCTCGAGTTTGGCCAAGGAACCTGGGTCATTGGGAGCTTACTGACCCCTTCCGGAGCAAACGGAAGGCTGAAATCGGCGGCGTCTTGAGATAGGGTCAGATGGTCAGATAGGGGCGGTTTCCACCCTGAAAGGAAATTAAGGAGCAAACGAAAACTATCAGATAATCATGAAGCAACTTCGTAATCGTCCCGAGGACAGGACAAGTCCACGGCGCAGCTGAGCCGAGAGTTCCAGCATGTGCAAGCTGACTGCTACATGCCTGCGGTGTAATGCCTTGAAGATCCGTGACGGCTTGAGGATCAGGGTCAAGAAGCCTGGGTTCTGTCTGCCATCTGTTCTGTTCTGCAACCTGAACAAGTAGAGCATAGCCTCTGCTACTTTGATAATAGTAGAGCGTAGCGTGGTCATGTTTTGACGCTGGAGGCTGGGCATCTTTTGAGCACTTCGGCGCAGCAGGCAAACAGTGAGAAGTGCAACGGAAAACCTGACAAGAAATCCAGGCGTGTTGACAATCCAGGCGTGTTGACAACAACACAGGACATCAAGGGACAAAACACAATGGCCACTTTCGGGGGCAGGTCTTTGGATACAGGGCTTCGGCGCACGGCGCAGACCTTGTGGGCCCTAAAAGCCTAAAACGAACCCCAATTTGCACGAGCACCCCTGCAGCGTGTCGTTTTTTTTCGGCCTGGCAGTCTCGAGGCTTCTACACGTCCTCCTGCACCTGCCAAGTGCTTCAGGAGGAGTTGGGCAGCATGCCCAACTATACACATATAGATATACACATAATGATATCCACTCCCCGCACGCAACAATCATAAATCCCCGTCCCAAAGTTTGGCCACTCCAATACGCAAATCCTCCTCATAGACATCACATAAGGGACCCACAATCTTTTTCTTTTCTTCTATTATTACTAGTAGAGCATTCTACAAAGCTTCTGCCTTCCACTTTTGCGCCGCCGCTTGCAGCAGCTTCCGGCGCTCCGCGCGCCAACCTGAGCCAGCGACAGTTTACTGCTAACGTGAACAGGAGGAATGGAAAATGAATGGAAACAAAGGGTTTAGGGTTTAGGGTTGTGAGCCATATTCCCCTATATAATCCCCTATAGAACCCCCTGCAAGGAGTTTAGACTGCGCACCATATCATTTAGGGTTTAGACGGGAAGAGAAGATGAAGCTTACCACGCTATCGGCTCAGGAATGGAAAAAAAGTTCTGCGTTTTGTCACAGAACAGATCCTCGTACTGGCCCCTATATATAGTCCCCAATCATGTCCTGGTCTCAATTTTCTCTTCCGTTCCTACCAACCAGTAAGACGTCCCATTGCTGAAAGAGGTACCACTCTGTGTGTTTTCCTTCACCCTGACTTGGAGGGTTGATTGGGGCCATGTTGTGATTTTATAGGAGGCATAAAGGTATTACGGTATCGTGAATCGTGAAGAGGTTGTGTGAACAGCAGGCTTTGAAAGCTCAGCATTGAAGAATCAGCCTTCTCTACGCTACCGGGGTCCCAATGTTCCTGGGTGCCTTGGACCATATTGTTTGGACACTTGGGCCCTCAAGCTGTGAGTCCCTGGCGCAAAAGCACTCGACCAATGCCCGGCGAGGAGACTGACCGGGACACCTGTTCAGCTCAATCTCAGTTGGGAAATCGTCCATAATCTGATCACTACATCAATAAAAGGGACCACATCTAAAGCATTTTTTGTATAGAATTAGGCTCCAAAGACTACTTTCAATTAGGTGGAATTTCGTATTGGGAAAAGGGACTAGATTTAAAGCTACTTTTTGGGGAACCAAGCCTGAGAATAGAGATATTCAATACATTCCTATTCATTTTTTACTAAGTAGAGGTCCAAGAGCTCCAATGACGCAGGAATGCATTCCTATTCTGTTTTACTTGAATTCCAGGAGCCCCAATCATTCCCAATCATTCTTTTAATCTGGCGCCCTCCATTCCTTATTCTGGCGGGGAGGGGCGGCGGCCCCCCCCCCGAATTGATGAAGTGCTAGGAGTAATGGGGGAAGAAGTCATGAAGATAGGAAATATGTGGTGGCCACTAGCGACGCATGAACAAGAACCTGCGCCGCGTGATCTTAAGGGAAACCGCTAAATGTTTTTTAGAAAATACCACTCGGAACGCATCGTTGCCCAAAAACACGCCTCTTGAAGCCGCAGTGGTAGAAGGTAGGCTCTTCACTCACAGACCGGGTCAATGCGCATTCGAAATGCGTTTCTGGGCTTAGGGGCTTAGACAAACCTAGGTCTAACGTTGAAACCATGGGCCCGTAGTGCGGGCCCTTAACCCCAGGAGCCATACATGCCTACTATAAACCCTGTAAAATCTTTTAGGGTCCCTAGAACCCCCTAAAAAGCCTAAAAGCCCATATTGGGGCCAATACCTATACCTTCGAGCGTAAGTGCTTGGGGCTTTAGGGTTTAGGCCTCATCATCCTCGGCAGCCCGGCAGCTTGGAAAAGCAGATCGCACGGTGGCGGCAGCAATCTGACATCAGGATGGGTCTGGGGCCTAGCGTTTTATGCAGGGAGAATCTAGGGATATATATAACTTAAGGTTCCCGTGAAATACCTAAGTACAAGGGGCAATGATCCTACTAGAAGTTGCCATAATGATCCCTGCAACTCAGTTCCCCACTTCGCTGCTAGATCTCTTGAAGCAGTGCCCTCGATATGAAGGTTTCTCAGGGAGCGCTAGGATATCTGAGATGGTAATGTAGACCCGTGATTAATAAACCCCCTCCTTTTAAGGGCCTTGATATTAGGATCCCTATGATAATCCCTATCAAGGGGAGGGGGTTTATTAGTCAGGGGTCTGGATTAGGATTACGGGGCTCCTCCATTCGTAAGGCTCACCATCTCGTGAGAGAGTACGGTGTACATGCTGAGGATGGCGTCTTGACAAAAGGGTCCCTTGCACGACCAAAGCCGAATATACTCAAAGCATGTACTTCCCGTCTTCCTCCAAAACATATGTACACTCACAAAACCTAGACCAAAAACTCATATCAAAGAATCCGAAAGCCCCAGCCTTCACAACAGAAGGCCCACCTAACCCTGAAACCTAAACCCTAAACCACTTGTTTAATCCTGAGCCTCTGCCACGCTCTGCTCGGAAACCTGCAGCGCAAGGCAGCGCATTTTCTCCCAGAGGCCCCTATAAATTAAAAGGATCCCTAAACTCGAAACCTTGAGCGCAGCCAGAGGCGGTTCCATGTTTGTTTGAGTATGTGCGAAAACAGGGTTTGGATTTAGGCATTAGGGCGAAAAGTGTCTCTATGTGGGTTATACGATACTAGGGGGTCTGGGAGCACTTCCTTTGTCATGCATATTAACTGGACGTGAGCACCCGAAAACGCATTAGCGTTTCGGCGGCATGA